CGGAAATTTAGTGGGTTGCCTGTGAACCCATAACATGCTACGGGTTTGTCCGATAGAATCGTTGTCTGCCATGGATCAATCCATGAAACCCGTGTTTTTTTGGATTCACATTGTTAAACCCGTATCCGTTCCGTTCGATGATGACTGGTGAGATGGATCGTGTCCAACCCATGAATTTTTACCCATTTTAACAGCTTTAAATAAATAGATGTATACCAACAACCTTTCTTAAAAGAGTAGAACTCTATTTTTCATATTAAAATATGCAATTCCTAAACAAGAAGTAAGAACATTTTCTAATAAAAAGAACATTATCTATTCTTAAATTGTTTTAGTTTTAAAGGATAACATGTGGTGACTTATTTTCCAATACTCCATTCTAAAGAATTGACACATTTTGGGAGGCTAAAGAATTAATAAAAAATAGGATTTGGTCTGAAAATCTGAAGTAAACTCATGAGCTCAAAGATACTGAAGACGAACATCCTTGACTTACTTAGTAGCAAGTAGCAACAAACATTCTTGGGCGATTTACATTTACAAAGTGGAAAAGAGATATTGAGAGCATTTCTTCAAACTCTGTTACTACTACTCACTAACTCACTGCAACTAAATCAACACGCGAGATCAAAGCACCGGGATTGCTTTCATCGATTTGTTTCCAACTCGCTATAGAACATAACATCAAAGCTGCATTTCAGAAAGAAAGAAAAACTTAAAAAGGCTTACTCTTGATGATGATGAGCACAACAACTAGGTGTTTGCGGTTTCAGCTTCAGGGTGGTAATAAAGCATTTCCTCCAACATCATCTCTCTGATCATTCGTTCCTCCATGTTCTCATCTATGTCCAAAGAGATCGGGACATGTGCAGGCGGATTGGATCCAGGATCAAACAGCCCCGCCATGTAAGGGTGCAAGAGTGCATCGGTTACAGAGATTCTCTTGGTTGGATCGAACACGAGCATTCTCTGTAGCAAATCTATTGCTAGAGGATTGGCTTGCGGGTAGAGATTGGAGAGATGAGTTCCTCTTGAGAAAGGAAGAGACTTTATAAATCTTCGGGCTTTCGGGTTGTCTATGAACCGAATATCAGATTCTTGTTGGCTACCAACCACATTGATGATTAGCTTAAGCTGATTCAGGCATTCTGTTCCCGGGAAAATCGGTTTTCTACCAAGAATCTCGGCGAATATGCATCCGACTGACCAGACATCAATAGAGGTTCCGTAGTTATCACAGCATAGAAGAAGCTCGGGTGCTCTGTACCAACGTGTAACCACATACTCGGTCATGAACTGTTCATTGCCTATGCTCGTTCTCGCCAACCCGAAATCACAAATCTTGAGATCGCAATTAGCGTTGACCAAAAGGTTACCAGGTTTCAAATCCCTGTGAAGGATATTTGCCGAGTGAAGATACTTCAATCCTCTTAGCAACTAACCAATTC